TTTTTTATGACTTGTTTAATGTCCATATATAGCCAACCTTTGTGAGGTTGGTGGGGTCCAGTCTGTTGTGACATTTTATAGATACCAGATATTTCCTTGAGAACTGACACATGGGTCCTTAAGGGAAGCTTCCTGTGCCTCTGTCAAAGGCATGGACAATGAGACCCAATTCTTCTGACATCCATGGCCTTCTCGACTTGGACCAGATCTGGTTTCAGCTGCATCTCAAATTATCATTTCCAGTTTTATTTTGTTTTAGTTCTGGCGCTTCTGAGCCAGGCCTTTCTCAACCAACTCACTTCTCCTTTGCTGCTGAAACAAGAGGCTGAGTTTTCTCTCTCCCAGTCCTGGAGTAGGGTCATACCGTGCTCTGAGAGACTGGGACTACATTGTGGACATTCTGCCCAGCTTATTTAGGTATTTTTGAGGCCATAAAAACAGCATTATTACTACCTTGGAATCCACAGAGACCTCAAAAAGTCAGTCATGACTTCCTTGTTTGAAGTATTCTAGGCATAGAAGACATGACAGCCAACTTTACCTACCCTAGTGGGCTTGAAGCAAAGAACAGAATGATACTTAGGCCAGGGCCGTTCATAGCCTTCAATAAATGAGGCTACATTCATAGCCAAGCATAAACGAAGCTATAACTCTGTTGCTTACAGAGAATTTATTTAGTCAGAGGAGCTGTTGGCCTCCTCTTAGGTGGTAAGGTCCCTCCCTTCTTCTGGTATAGTTATGATCTTCCAAGCTCAGGCAAGTCCCTGATGCCATCCTAAACTAAGGACAGAAACCCCATCCGCCATCTTATTTGTGTCCTCTTGCCACTGTGTCCTCTGTTAGTTGGTCATGATGATTCTGAGTAGAAGAATGGCCCAACTCCATTCTCTCTCCTCCCTTCCTGTAACAGAGCTGGGACCCTCCCTGGTGGCTGATCTCTTGCCTTAGTTTTTTTTTCTCAAAGTTGGGGGGAAAGCTTCCTGCTATTAGTGGTGTTAGACAACTTGATGGTTTGTGGATATGAGTGTGAATGTTGCTCATTTTGTTCTTGGTATAACAAAAGCCTTTATGCCAATTATGCACTTAACTCTTTAGCCTGGTGATATCCATATGTTCAGTCATCCTTTTCATATCACTAATTATAACAAACATACCCCTTTTTTAAATGTATGTTTTTATTGGAAATGTTTTTGATGGGACCATGTATGTGTGTAATGTTCTTTAAGTTGCTGTAGCTCCTGACTTATATGTAAAACACTGGTTAGTATTACTGCTCTGAGGGCTGGCAGCTCTATGAACTAAAACCCATAGCATTTTTGTTTGGGGACTGACTTCTTCCTGTGTACCTGTCTTTCCATAGTTGCTTGCTAGTAGAAAAAACTTGGTGTTTTGCCAAGTTGGTGTGCTGCCCCAGGAAGCTTAATAGAAAGTTGCACATGGTTGGTGGAAGCTGTTAAGTGCCTGAACTAGAGGCAACTAGGAGTCTCACAGGAAGTAGAGGGCACAGCAAGGTAATGGCCAGAGCTGGGGCTCCATGTGGGCAAGAAGGAGCAGGGAGGAATTGACCTGTGGCATTGGCCCCTCTGCCTCAAACTTGGGATCTGAAGGCTACGTCAGGCCGGAAGACCCCGAGGCTATTCTCCCTTCAGTTCCTGGCAGAGGCTTTGAAAGCCTAGGCCTCTAGCCCAGCTTCGTTTTGAAGGGTTGACTAGGTTGACTAGCAGCTCCCTTGTCCTTCAGGGAGCTTTGAGAATGATCCCACAAAACTCAAGTCTCACTAAGGGTTATGCTTCAGATTCAGATTCAGGAGTTTGTTAAAATGGTGAGCTCTACGTCTGGTTTTGGTTTGAATTACAAATCCAGTTTCTTATTCCAAGTCACTACACTGGAGGAGAGACCTCCTCTCATTATTGTGTCACCTGTTTCATATTAGCGTAGGATCAAAGGGTGGAAAATAATGACACAGTTTCTAAAGCTGAGATCAATATTACATGCTCCGGTTTTTTCACTTAGTTTTCTCTACCTTCCTCACCCTATCTCTCTAGGTTGCTTATCTGTTTTTAGTGACCATGACACTCTGCTGTCATCACTGTCCAAATATTTATTTATTTGAAAGTAAGGAGAGAGAGGAATGAGGGTGGGATATTTGAAAGCACTTTGCAACTTACCAGTATCTGAAAATCTCCTGCTGTTGTGGGGAGAAGCTTTGAATGCACTGAAGAGAGTTCCTTCTGAATGACGTGGGACGGAAGAAGTGTTCTTTTCTATAAATAAAGGGAAAATCAAGTTTGCTTACAAGGTGGAGACAAGATTCAAGACATAGCAGAAGAGTGGAAAGCAAATAATTTCTACTTACGTGAGGCTGTTATTGACTTTCTCTGCCAACATTTTAGAGCTTTTGTTGAATTAACAAATGAAGCAAGAATCTAAACAGAGATGTTCTGTGTGTACACAGCTCATGTTCTGAACTGGATTTCTACTTGCTGTAATTCATACACAGCCTAACAGCTTGTTGTCATCTTTAATAAACTAAAGAAATGAAATTCTGCCTTTATTTGCCTTTATGTATATACATTCATATTTGTTTTTTCTTAGTCTTTATTCTTCTTTAGAAATTAGCATACTATATATACACTTCTGTACCTTGCTTTTTTTTCTGACAGAGTATCTTAAGAGAACTTTCTATATCAGCCATGAAGAGTTTCCTTACTCTTTTTTTATAGCTGCACATTTTCTGTTGAATGGGTGGAATATAATTTATTCAACCAGTTACATATTGATGAATATTTGTTTTCAGTCTTTTACTAATATAAACAATGCTGCAATGAAAAACCTGTTCATACATCATTTCATATAGGTACAAGCATAGTATATCTGTAGGATAAACTTCCAAAGTGGAATGGCTGGCACAAAGCGTATGTGCATTTTTAATTTGGATAAATATCGCCAAGTAGCCATATAATCTAGTGGAGATAAGGAGATTTGAGCAGTGGGGAGGACAGAAAGCATTACTGTGAGGTCACACTCCCCTGCCTAAAGCTCACCAGCATTTTTCTCCCCATATAATAAAATTGGTTCCTTCCTTGGCACATAAAAGGTCTTCAGTACATGATCTTCAATAAAGGATATTAGCTTTTTAGCCTAATATCCTTTAAAGAGCTAACTCAGCTACCTCACAGCTTTCCCTAACTACATTCTATTCTATTTGCCCTCTGTGAGCCTTTGACACTGTAAACCTGTTAGATCACTCTCACGCAATCTTGTTACTTTATTAGTATTTTTCCTAATAGAACAACAAATGAATGAATGGGATGAATGAATGAACTGCCAGGTGGCCATTCGAATGTATGAACTGACTGTTCTACATGGAGGCAAATGTTCTACATGGAAGAATGATCCTTTGAGGGTTATTCCTGACAAGGATTACCTTTGCTGCAGCAGTGGCCCTGACTCACCGCTGTCAAACACGTGTCCAGCAGCCCTCCCTCTGCAAAAACTCAGTGATCACCCCAACGACTCAGCACAAACCCTTCCAAATTAAGCCGGAAGAACTCAGCCCCGATTCTTAGGCAGAAAGGAGTCCCTGACAGGGTCAGCCCACCTATGCTTTTCCTGGCTGCCTCCCTTTCCTGTTTAGTCACTGGGGTCCTGTAGTCAGGTAAATTTAGTCGGTTTTCTTCTTTGTGACATGGATCTTTGTTATAACAGTTTTCCACCATATTACTACCAGCATGAGCGGGTCTAGTTTCTTCCAACCGAAAGAGCCTCAATAGAATACCCAAATCAAATGAATATGAAGCCAGCTGACCTTGGGGCTCTCTAGTCTATTTGCATGATATGTCTTTAAGGTGCCCCTGCTGTGTTTCCCCAGATCAGGGATCCACAGGGGACTCTAATACAGACAAATTTTATGGGTACCTATCTCCTCAGAGTTTATGTAGGATCAGCTATTCATCAGTTTCTGTACAAATAGACATGACGACTCCTGGAGCATGAGAACCACTTGGGAAACATTCCGTTCTCGATTGATACTTTTTCCTCCCTGTCTCTCAGTGGGAAAAAGAATGACCAGAAGTACTCTCTGGGACAAGGGACAGAGAGTTCTGACCCTACCTCTGACTATCTCCTCTCTTAGCTGTCTTATCTCTTACCACCATATCTCTGCAGTGATTACTTTCCCAAATCTCAAAGTACTGAAAATGTCCTCATCTTTCTCCTCCTTCAGCTACTTTTTCTGCAACTGTTTCTGGTTTGTTTTCTCCAACAGTTATTATCAGAGTAGATAACATTCCAAATGACCTTCACCATCAGCGTTTTTCTTGCCAGGGATTAAACCAGGAGATACGATGCTATTTACATGTCCGAAAAACATCCTAGGTATTTTAAAATCTTTATGTCTACAAGGTAAGCTGAGAGAAGAACGTTAAAGCCAAGTGAAAGACTGCCAAAGCTTATAAAATATCCAAATGTGTTCCAACTAGAAATAGGAAAATAGCTTACAGTACAAAATCTTTACTTTGTTCTAAGGACCGTTGTTTTATTATAAACTAGGTGTGGTTCACAGGAAGCCAGACCTTGATTTCCAGCAAGCCCTCAGGTTTCTCTTACCCACATTTAACTTAGACTTGAGATCTTAATAGTCCAAGAGTAAGAAGACTGTTCAACAGGAAAAAAAGGACTACAGGTTACATTGCCAGCCCAACATGCATCCATCCATCCATCCAGTCATCCATCCATCCATCCATCCATCCATCCATCCATCCATCCATCCATCCATCCATCTATCCCAAAAAAACATCTATTGAACTCTTACTATGTTTCTGTGTTCCAGACACC